AATAAATAAGTAACCGGGATATAATGTATAGCATAAGGAATATAGTCAAAATATTGTAACAACTTGGTATGGTGATAGCTGGTACCTAGAATTATCATGTATATAAATGTTAAATCACTGTGTTGTACACCTGAAACTAATGTAATGCTGTGTGTCAACTACCCTTCAATAAAAAATACTTATCTAAAAAAAAAAAAATCAGTTCCTTTTGATTTGGAAAGCTTACAGAAACTTAAGAAATAGTGATAACTATCCTACCAAACCCAGAGTACCAGCAAGCTAATCAGCAGCAGCCACTGGTACTTAGCATCGTCCCAGCAGGCGATCCTGATCAGGAAATTAAATCGGGGGCCTTTTGTAAGACAAGTGCCAAACCATTGCTTTTCTACTAAAATGCAGTAACGCATATTAAGAGCACCACTATTGTTATTAACAGGTAAATAACCTCCATAGTTAATACATATTCAGAAATACAGCAACTACAGTTTTAACTCCTATAGTGTTATTTGATTTTACATTTCACTTAAAGGGCAATGTAAATGCTGCTGGACATTTAACAAAGATACTATAGATCGAAAATCATATAAATGTCTATTATTAATGAGAACCTTGTCATGATTTACAACTGTCGGCCTCAAAAGGGTACCTTCAGGTGAATTCGGAGGAGCCCTCCCTTCTCATCCCAACCTCTGCCCCTCCCCACCTGCATCTTGTATGAAACATCTGAACCTACGTGGACGAACACGAATAGGAGAAACTGTTAAGATGTGTAGCTAACTCATTCATCCTTTTCCTTTCCTCTGTCTTCTTGAAATGATGTGTTTGTATTTATTTTCTTGGCTTCTTATTCCCTGTCATAACAAAATAATGGTCATCGCCTTCCTTTTCCTTTGTGGCAGGTTTTTTATCTCCACTAACCGCTTCCTTACCAGATGAGGGTGGCTTTCTGGTTGAAGCTGGGGCTCTGCCACTTTTTGGTGGCCCTTTAGTTGGAGACTGGCTCTTAGTGACAGCAGTCTGTGCTGACTTTGGTACAGTTTGTGTTTTGGCAGAAGACTGGGGGAGACTCATGATGGACAGTGGGGCACGGCCAGGGGACTTTGAGGAGTTGGGTGCTGCCTTCTGGGGTGCACTTTTATTCTGAGGCTGCTTTTTGGCAACTGAAACTATCCTCTTATCTTTCAATTCCTGTGCAGCTTTTGCAGGAACAACTGAGGACACAGAAAGCGGCTGGTTTACATTCAAGGCTGACCTAAGTTTCTGTGCTGGCACTGCCCCTGCTTGCAGGGCTCCATCAGATGGCTGAGACCGTGTTCCCCCGCCTGCGGTTATGGTTTTAGACCTGGATTTTGTCATGTTTGCTGGGGGCTGGAAAGAAGATGGCTTAGGTCTTACATGTATATTTGCATTAGGTAGCTTTGGACACTTTGAGGATGAACTTAAATGTGCAGTTGAGTGAGATACTGCACTGGAAGATATGTGATTGTGTTTCAAATGCTTCAGTTCAGTTTTTCCAGAACACTTATTTGGCAAAAGTGTAGACTCAGGCATATCTCTTGATTTCTGGACTGGAATAAACTTGACCTTAGGAGTTTTGGGTGAGATATTTCTTCTCATTGACTTAGAGGCACAAGGCACAGTTGTTGATAAAGCTGATGAAGCGCTTTTACCTACTGGATTTAAAGCAAGTGAGGATGACACACTGTTGGAGGGCACTTGTGGTTTCTTTGTTTTGCCATTTGAAGATGTGAGTTTGAGATGAGAAGATGCTGCTGGAGAATTTGGCAATTTAGAGCAGCCTGACACAGAGCCCAGAGTTCCTGTTTTCTGGGAAGACGCTGACTTCAACACAATTGGAGGGCATGCTTGCTTTTCTTTGCTCCTTGGACCACCAATTGCTGTGCCAGGTTTTGATTTTTGTTTCTGAAACATGCTAACTGCTGACAAAGGATTCATCTCAGGAGGCTGAGGTGTTCTCGTGGGCGAATCAGGTACACTTTCATTAGAAACTCCTTTTTGAAATGCCAGAATTTTTTGTTCTAGTGTAGCAAACTGTAATATTCGACAGGGATCATATTTAAGCAAAAATCCTTGAAGAGTATCCCAGCCTCCACCAACACGGACCATGACATGTTTTCCATGAAGCATCTTTTCCCCAAAAGAGAGTAAAAGATAAAACTGTAAGGGTCACAGTTACAACTCATTAGCAGTCACAGTTTGTAATGTGTGTGACCTATGAAATTCAGAGCTTCACTATAAATTGACAGTCTCTTTCTTGTTTTATTAAGATAATAAATTGAATCCACAGTTAATCACACAAGTAACAATACAGTCATCCAATGTAGAAGAAGGCATTTACACATAACTTGCATCCTAAAAGTCCAAATTACTAATATTACAAAAATTGCATGGGCAATATTAATATTATTCAATAAAGAATTGAATACAGGAGAAAAAGAGAAGATGGAAGGTAAGGGAGAAAAGAAATGGGGAATTTACAGAAAAAAATTCTACAAAATAAGAAATTATGGAAGGAAGATAAAAATGACTAAAATTAGTACTCTACAATTTTGTAAATTACTTTCATATATATTACATCATAAATTTAACCTTTGAAGAACTTTGATATAATTTTTACTATTCTTCATTGCAGATGAAAAAATTATGTCTCTGAGAGATTAAGTTCCCTGTCATAACAAAATAATGGTCATCGCCTTCCTTTTCCTTTGTGGCAGGTTTTTTATCTCCACTAACCGCTTCCTTACCAGATGAGGGTGGCTTTCTGGTTGAAGCTGGGGCTCTGCCACTTTTTGGTGGCCCTTTAGTTGGAGACTGGCTCTTAGTGACAGCAGTCTGTGCTGACTTTGGTACAGTTTGTGTTTTGGCAGAAGACTGGGGGAGACTCATGATGGACAGTGGGGCACGGCCAGGGGACTTTGAGGAGTTGGGTGCTGCCTTCTGGGGTGCACTTTTATTCTGAGGCTGCTTTTTGGCAACTGAAACTATCCTCTTATCTTTCAATTCCTGTGCAGCTTTTGCAGGAACAACTGAGGACACAGAAAGCGGCTGGTTTACATTCAAGGCTGACCTAAGTTTCTGTGCTGGCACTGCCCCTGCTTGCAGGGCTCCATCAGATGGCTGAGACCGTGTTCCCCCGCCTGCGGTTATGGTTTTAGACCTGGATTTTGTCATGTTTGCTGGGGGCTGGAAAGAAGATGGCTTAGGTCTTACATGTATATTTGCATTAGGTAGCTTTGGACACTTTGAGGATGAACTTAAATGTGCAGTTGAGTGAGATACTGCACTGGAAGATATGTGATTGTGTTTCAAATGCTTCAGTTCAGTTTTTCCAGAACACTTATTTGGCAAAAGTGTAGACTCAGGCATATCTCTTGATTTCTGGACTGGAATAAACTTGACCTTAGGAGTTTTGGGTGAGATATTTCTTCTCATTGACTTAGAGGCACAAGGCACAGTTGTTGATAAAGCTGATGAAGCGCTTTTACCTACTGGATTTAAAGCAAGTGAGGATGACACACTGTTGGAGGGCACTTGTGGTTTCTTTGTTTTGCCATTTGAAGATGTGAGTTTGAGATGAGAAGATGCTGCTGGAGAATTTGGCAATTTAGAGCAGCCTGACACAGAGCCCAGAGTTCCTGTTTTCTGGGAAGACGCTGACTTCAACACAATTGGAGGGCATGCTTGCTTTTCTTTGCTCCTTGGACCACCAATTGCTGTGCCAGGTTTTGATTTTTGTTTCTGAAACATGCTAACTGCTGACAAAGGATTCATCTCAGGAGGCTGAGGTGTTCTCGTGGGCGAATCAGGTACACTTTCATTAGAAACTCCTTTTTGAAATGCCAGAATTTTTTGTTCTAGTGTAGCAAACTGTAATATTCGACAGGGATCATATTTAAGCAAAAATCCTTGAAGAGTATCCCAGCCTCCACCAACACGGACCATGACATGTTTTCCATGAAGCATCTTTTCCCCAAAAGAGAGTAAAAGATAAAACTGTAAGGGTCACAGTTACAACTCATTAGCAGTCACAGTTTGTAATGTGTGTGACCTATGAAATTCAGAGCTTCACTATAAATTGACAGTCTCTTTCTTGTTTTATTAAGATAATAAATTGAATCCACAGTTAATCACACAAGTAACAATACAGTCATCCAATGTAGAAGAAGGCATTTACACATAACTTGCATCCTAAAAGTCCAAATTACTAATATTACAAAAATTGCATGGGCAATATTAATATTATTCAATAAAGAATTGAATACAGGAGAAAAAGAGAAGATGGAAGGTAAGGGAGAAAAGAAATGGGGAATTTACAGAAAAAAATTCTACAAAATAAGAAATTATGGAAGGAAGATAAAAATGACTAAAATTAGTACTCTACAATTTTGTAAATTACTTTCATATATATTACATCATAAATTTAACCTTTGAAGAACTTTGATATAATTTTTACTATTCTTCATTGCAGATGAAAAAATTATGTCTCTGAGAGATTAAGGAAATTGTCCCAAATCACATAGGTTGGTCTTGCCTCAAACACACAGGCTGCTCCCACCCCAGCGGTGCTTTTGGGTGGATAAGACACGTATTGGGTCTATAAGCCACAGCTCAAGCTGGATCTCAGGTCTCTGTCCATTCAGCAGACAAATCAGCACAAGTGTAGGAGACGGCCCTGCAAAATTTTAACTCTAGAGCCCATGCTCTCATATAGTGTACTAGCACTATATGAGACCTGTCTTTAAAAAGAAGTTTAATAAAATATAGAAGGTACATGTATGTTATTTTGAGAGGTGGACAGGGCATGGGGAGGTAATGATAATATATGAAATAAAAGAAAATGTGGATGGTGAAATTACATTTTAAGTACTTTTATTCTTAAATTGGGGATGAAACAGCTCTTGTATCAGAAGGGGACAAAATGCTGAATAGGTGAAACTTGAATCTCCTTATCAGGAGAAGGGACAGTTATCACTGTGGATCACAGATGGGGCAGAGGAAGGAGATGCACATGCGCATCAGCATATTGGCATGCATACTGACGCTGTGTCAACGAAGAAAGGTTTTACACTTAAAACCCAAAGTATATATTATTACACATGTCAATATTTCTATTTCTCTCTCTTACTACTGATATATATTTATTCTCATTAGATGTATTGTTTTGATTTTTTCTTCTTAGGATGGAAAATGATTCATTTTCAGAAAATTGGAACAATGGAATAGGTTACATTAGGTGTACTAAGATGTTTTTTCCCTTAATTATATTCTGTGTCTGAACAGTTTGAGCTACCCTGGAATTACTTGTTTGCTTTGTTAAAGGTGTTTACCTAAACTCATAATATACCCATAAAAGCAAGCATTCCATATTTCTCTTGTACAGAGAAATTCTTCCATGAATAACAGCCTCTATTCCAACTTTTTAAAATTGTAAAAGGAGAACAAAAGGAGTTCAGTAAGGCAATAAATCCAATTACAAAACAAGATCTGTATGTAAATAGGATGTAAATGGTGAACTTACTCTTATAAAGAGGATTTTATCTCCTAGTCGGTATCGTCCCTCAGATAAGTACTCAATAGAAAATCGATGAGAACAACTACAAGGAGGGTCTTCAGCAATATGTCTGACCTAAGATCAAAAACAATTAACAAAATTTAGTGCTTGTGACAAAAGTATTTTGTTTAATGTCAAAATGCAGGGTTATCTAAGAGCTGGGAAAATCAAACTCAAAGACAAAAATTGAAAGAGAGTTTATTTATTGTGTCTTCTCCTTCACTTGCTGACAAATACTGAGATTAGACATTAGCTAATCTGATAAATGCTAACAGTAATGAAGTCTTGAGTCACTCCCTGTCTGTGCCCAAGTACACTCAGGCTCATAGCGCATTCACTGACCACTGGAGAAGGTGTGTGAACATGTACAACAGTGAAGTCGATTCAAAACACATTCAATACATGATAGGAAACACATGAGTCATTATTAAGCTTGAATTGTGTTATGCCCAGGATTAATATATCTGCATCAAGTCAAAGATAGGCCAGTCACATAAAGCTTATGGAGGAATTCTCACTTTATCCCTTAACATTGTGCTAAACTAGTTTTGTAGGAGAATATTCAGATTTGTTCCAAAATGGCTATTAAAATAGGCATAGATACATTTATATCTATTCACCCAAGATTGGGTAAAATTCTAAAAAAATTCCAATTCAAAAGGCATTTTTCTAAAGGTGCTCTCTTTGTTTTAATGGTCTGCTAATAAGATTAGAGTTGGGGAGAAAACTCTACTTTGCCCCAAGGAGTTAAAAATTTTAAATTGCAGTAAATATCTAAAAAATGGTGAAAACTAGAACAGCTAAAAGTTTCATAAGTCCACAGATTTGTTGTTGTATATTTTTTAATACCCTAAATAATGAATCGGACAATAACTGTTCCTTATGTTAAGCATGACACCAAGATCTCTATAGATCACACAGGTTTAAGTGGACAGTGGATTCACATAGCATATTTATATTTACAGAAATGTGTTTCTTTTTAGATTCCATAACAAGAATGCAGAGATGAAAAGTCAAGTATTTTCTTTGTTTAAAATACCCAAATACCACTTACATTCAGCAGTGCAAGTCATCAGCACTGACCCACAATCTAAATAAGGGGGTGAACCTAAAAGAAGAGCTGTGGATGAGAAACGGTCTCTTCTTATTTTATCTATTGCATAATTAACATTGTAACACTAAAGGGAATAGCTAAAACAGTTAAAATCATCTACTATCAATTATTTTCATTCCCCTTGTTCTTATAGTTTGTCTATATACACATACTTTTCACAAAATAAGCATTTTTGCTCCAGCTACTGTCTTCCTACTGAACACAGAAAATGATTATTCTGTTAAATTAATGAATGCTAATTTACCTAGCCATTTCCCTAGCTGAGAGTATTTACATTGCTTCCCCAGTTTTCCACCATTATAAGTAACAGTGCGATACACACTCGCCTTCATGCTTTTCCCCCAGACCTTCAACCACAATAAAAATGAAAGAGGAGCATCTTTGTAGCTCTCAACCCATCTGTCAACTTGTTTTTCATAGGTTTCATCATTTTTTCATCACAAATAGCATTTCTAAGTATGTTTTACCAGAATTTACTAGCACCAGGTTGCATAATTTAAAAAGTTTTGCTAATGGGGCAAAATATATATCTGACTTCCTTGATTATCAGCAAATTTCAACACTGTATTTTCTTCTTGTGTGAACAACAGTCCTTGCCCTACTGGAAATGTTTTTCTGATTAAACTGTATATGGTCTTTATATAAGAGGGATATCAACAAACACATTGTATTTCCTATTTAATAAGAAATATTTTACCATTGTTTCCCTTTTTACTTAATTATCATTATTTTAGGTTATATGAGACTTAAAATGTTTTACTCTTTTACCTACTTACTACATGATCAATACATCACATATTGATATTCACATTCATCAAATAAATGAATAATATATATAATGTGGGTTCATATATTTTGGCCTGAAATAGAGTTGTTTAGGCTGACATTTTCTCAGTCTGTCTTACAAGGCTATCCACATGCTTTAATAGAGACTTTTCTTATAACAAACAAAACAATCACAGCAACATTTTCTAAATATTTATAAGTGATGATTCATTCTTTACTCATCTAAAAGTCTGCATATTTCTAACAAGGGGAATGTTCGAAAAACCCCATCAATTTGTTTTCACAACTTTTCCTCCTCCCATATTCTCTAAGTATCATTTAACAATTAACTAAGAAGCCTTGGAAATCATCCTAGATTTTCTTCCTCCTGATCAGAATTAGTATTCCTGTCAATTCTACATCTAAGTATATCTTATATTTTTCCACTACTGCTGCTCGAGTTCAGGTTCACATCATCTTAGGCCTGGGTTATTATAATAAAACCAGTATAACCTCTACATGACCATGAGAGTAATCCTTATAATTTACAAATCAGATTATAGCACTACATATTAAAAAGAGAATCAATGAATTCTTATGGCCTATAATACCCTTCATGATCAATTTCAGCCTATTTGCCCCACCACCTCTCAACTACATCCATTCCTCCTCCTCAAGAGGTAACAATAGATCACCTTTAAAGTAGTGCTCTTTAAATAGTGCACTAGCATCTATTTTCAATAAGAAACATTTTCTGTTACACATAAGCATCATCTGGGGCAAACTATGAGACTTTGATACACCATCATAGTTGAAAGTGTGGCAATTACTTACAGCTTCATGTAGCTCTTCATGCTGACAGCAGGATTTTGGAATGCTGATGGAATCTTCAGGCCCAGAGGTATTAAGTAAGGTCTCTTCTAGCTCAATTTCTTTCTCAAGTTTTACTAATACTGGTGGCTCCACCCCATATCTGAAAACCAATTAGGAGATCTCATCATTCAAGCAAAGTCTGACCCAAGAAGTTTCCTACATATCACAATAGGTTACATAAGTGAAGTCTTCTACCAGTTGTTTCACTGGGACATCTGGAGATACTTTTTAATGTCCTACAGAATTCTAAAAATTCAGGATATACTCTTCACATCATAGCATATATTTGGGTTACTGGATGTTTCCAATATTCAACCAAGGATCCTGAAAGGAATCTTTAAAGTCAGTTTATGAGTAAAGATGGGGCTGAGCTAGAAATGAAGGATATCAAGCCTCAGCTTTTCTATGAGATTCTATTTGTGCCCAGAGGACTTACCTCACCTTGAACTGCTAAAAGACTACATTCTTAATTTATTCTTAATCTAAACATTTAAGTAACTACTTTTACAGTTTCATGTTAAATGAAAGCAAGCCATGTGAGCAAGGAGATATCGACACATGATATAGCTCACACAAACAGAAATAAAGAAACAAAAACAAGAAAACTAAGTTAGTTTATTCAATCAAGACTTTTATTTATAGAAAATAGTGTTCTACTAAAAGTAACTTAAAAAATGTTTATGACATTGAAATTCTAAAATATTGTGGAATACATACCTTGATACAATTCGACCAATTTCAAGAAGACAAAGATACACCTGTCTTGGATCTTTGTGCAAAACTGAAAATATAAGACCACATATTTCAAGGGGAGAATTAAATAGGGACATATATTTCTGGCATGGAAGAAGTAAAAGAAAAAAAATGATGACAACAAGAGGCTTACTTTTTTAGGGACTTAGAAAAGACATTTTTATTTTCTCTACATATTATCATCTTCCATAAATTAAATAAAAAAATTGGCTAACAAGAGAAAGATGAAAACTTACCATGGATTCTTATTTTTATAGCATCTTAAATCTAGAAAACTAAGGGCTTAGTAACATTAAATTATTTACACTTCAGAGCTCTCAACAGGAAATATTATTTGAAGAGATGTATTACCTCACTTTTATTCTAAACTATCTTTAGCATAGGACTATGTGTTTAATAGCGTTCTTAAACTCTTATAAAAACATAAAAGGAGCACTTCCTAACTCATTCTATGAAGCCAATATTATCCTGCAACGAAAGCCAGATAAAATTATCACAAGAAAACTGGAGACCACTAACTTTTGTAAATATATAGGTAAAAATCCTCAATGAAATACTGGAAACTGAACCCAGCAGCATTTGGGACTTATCCCAGGAATGCAAGGTTGGTTCAATATATGAAAATCAATCAGTACAATATGCCATATTAATAAAAGAAAGGGAAAAAAACACAATTATCTCAGTAGACACACAAAAAGCATTTGACAAAATCAAACACCCTTTCATAATAAAGAAGACTTAGCAAACCAGTAAAATAATGGAACTTCATAAATCTGAAAATTGACATCTATGAAAAACCCACAGCTAATATCATTCTTAATGGCAAAAGACTGAGTCTTCCTCCTAAAGCCAGGAAAAAGACAAGGATGTCCATTTTCACCACTTCTATTTAACATAGTACTGGAGGTTCTAGCCAAGGCATTTAGGCAAACAAATAAATAAAAGGCATCCAGACTGAGAAAAAGAAGGAAAACTATCTCTATTGACAGATGACATGATCCTTTGTTTAGAAAACCCTAAAGAATCTACAAAAAAAGTATTAGAGCAAATAAGCAAGTGTAACAAACTTGCAGGATACAAGATCAACATACAAAACTACTGAACTTTATATACTAGCAATAAACAATCTGAAAATGTAATTAAGAAAATAATTTCATCTATAATTGCTCCAAGCAGAAAAAGTACTCAGGAAAAAATTTTACCAAAGAATTGTTAGACTGGTGCACTGAAAATTACAGAACATTGTTGAAAGAAATTAAAGAAGATACAAATAAATGGAAAAACATCCTATGTTCATGGTAATACAGATGGTAATTTTTGTTCTGTATATTTTTAGCACAGAAAAAATTAATTTTTTGTAAATTTTAAAGGACCCTCAGTGCTAAATCTAAAATTCAGAGATCCTTAAAAACAAAGAAACAACAACCAAAAAACTCCAGAAAAATGCTGATCATAAGAATGTGTGCTAAATGGACCAATATGGTGGTTGTGCGTCATGTACCTTTCTGTTCCCGTCACTAGAGTTAAAAGCTCTAGGAAAGCTCACCCCTAATATAATAATGGTATGCGTGATGAACTGCATGTACACTAACTCCTCCAGTGGAAATGTCAATTGTTCTTTGATTTATTTATGAATTGAATCTATTATATACCCCAAGCACAAAGTATATTTTTCCAAAGTAATAAAAAGGCCTATATTTCACTTTGAAATTCATACCAAAAGGAATTCATCCTGAAGTTTTTATTAAACTTGTTTCTCTACACACTTAGAAGTATCTTAAAACTGTGTATTTGGTTTTTTAAATAAAACTTTCAGTTTCTAGCAAAATGTAAAAAATTAGGAGACTTATCTCTGAGACTTTTAGAGGGTAAAAACATTAGCACATGAGTTCAATGCCTCGAAATGAATTAATGTTGCTGGCAGTGCTTTATTTAGTCCTATTCTGACCTTCAGGAACAACAGAAGATGCCTTTTACTGAAAATAAGGTGAACAATTTTATAGCCTTTCAAAAATAGTAAACTGGAAACTATAGAGAATTCAAAGCATTTTCTCTTCCCCTTGATCTCTAGAAGCTGTAACTGCCATCAAATCAGGCACATTTTCAATAACAATCAGCACACCTGGATTGAAGCAAGGTGCAAAATGGGGGATAAAACAGTAACCCGTTACTTGCTGTGGCTGAGCAGCACTGAACAGGAATATCCGGAGATGCACCGAACAGGTGCCTCTGGGAGCAGCCTACCTTGCAGGCAGGCAACAAGGATGTGCACAGTCAGGTCGGAATTTTAAAACAATAGTAAACCAACGAAAGTCAGTTTCCTTTTTATTATCACCACGAACCAGTAATTCTAAACAATGTCAGTGACAAAATACTTCTCCCTACCAGGGCGGACTACCTCCACAAGCCCCACCCCTGGCATGCTGCTGCTTCAAAACACTGGAAATTCTGTGTGTGGGTGTATGTGCATGCACACACACAGATATCTATATGTATATAAATGCATTGAGGAAACATACATATAAATATAGTCTAAAACTTAGGTAGCTTTCACGTTAGTCACTGCACAGATGCTTCTGTTGACTTAAAGGAAATGAGAAAATATGTCAATAATTCTTCAGTACAGCATGACTTTTTTAAATGAATTGTCAAAAATATTGATCCATTCAGATAATTAGGTTGACAAGTGCTGTTTATAAAGTAAATCTGAAAACCATGGGCATTCATCATTTGGTCTTCTGTTATTTCTGTAATTATCCAGTTAAAGAGAATTGCTAGTAATTTAGACTTGGTAGAGTAATTCTTGATGAAAATATTAAGTGGTAAAAGCATTCGTCCAGAACCGTTCCTTGGCCAACTCATTTAGGAAGTGAAATATTTCCTGGATACTCTAGTGATACAAGATCTTTAACTATAAATGGAAAACTTAATATGTATTATTTAGAATCTGATTTTCCTATTGTTTCACATATATTTAAACTATAAATTTTTCTAAGAAAATGAGATATAAATTTTTCTAAAAAATTCATGTATTTGAGTCCTTATTTGGGAAGAAAAATAAGAAAGCATACAAAAATAACCTGATAAACGTTAAATACAAAATGACAACGACACTAACCTAAACCTTCAGATTCAAAGAGGTAAGTCTCATCCACTCCAATGTGCCTACACCAGTGAAGGAAGTTTGCGGTATTGTCTCTAGCAAAGAATGAACCTGAGGCAGCATCTTTCTTACAGGGCACTTTTCTCATTGGAAAATTCTGGAAAAAACAAAAGTAATTTCAAAAATGCATCAAGAACATTTTCATTGGATAATCTAATATTACTAAATAAATAATCAATACTTGAAATAACTAAAAGGTACACAACGTTAGGGGATAAAGGTATTTTCAAAAATTATTTTATTTTATTTTTCTTCAATTATATTACAGAAAATTATTCCTAGGATAACAATCTGGTCAAAATCAGCAGTAGGATCAAGCATCTCTACCCTCTTTTCACTTAAAATGACACAAGAATCTTCAAGTAAAAAAATGACATCTCTAATAATTCTAAAACACGTCTGTATAGGTATCTTTCCATACATTCTTCAAGGCAAACACAAAATTATTGCTGTTAAAGGTTAACAGACATACCCATTTTTGCTTACTTCCTTATTTACAGATTCATAAATATGGTGCTGAGTTACTCGAAGAGACAGACTATCAAAGAAGGTAATAGTAGCCCAGTCTTAGTTCAAATTTTTTGAAAACTGATGGCTACATTTGACAGAATACTAATTTTTAAGCTACCTGAACCAAAATATTTAGGTAATCCTGCTGAAGCTGAGGGGTTTTTGTTTTGTTTTAAATTTTTATCTGAATAATCAATTCATGTATAGGATTTTTAAAGATACAATAGGCACAGGAGGACATAAGTCTTTCTCTCACCTCTCCCACTCGGTTCCTCTCTATGCCTGGAGATAACCACCATTACCAGTTCCTTATATACCCTTCTTGTTGCTATTATTTTCCAGAATTAAAATCACCTTGTGAGTTTTTCTAATTGTATTAAGAATATGTGATCATGGCAAACAATACAGACAAATATAAAGACAGGATCAGCTGAAAATTTCCCACTCACACACTTGTAAGACATGACTATATTCAAGTGTATACACATCTGTACCTACAGAATGTCACATAAACATGGTAGTCTGCAACCTCAACCTGATTTGCGTGTGTATGAACACCTGCACAGTGAACAGCAGGCTGTAGGGATCTTTGAGGATAAAAAAATAACAGATTAAAATAGTCTTTCTAATAAATAGGTATTATTCCATTCTTTGCAGGTACCATAATTAATTTTTAACAACTTCTTGATTGATGAGCATTTAAGTTATTCTTAACTTTTTTTTCACAATCATTTTTGTGAATTTCTGGTTATTTTCTTAAAATAAGTTCCTGGGTAGAATTATGCTATGTATCAAGTATGTGCTTTATTTTCAAGGTGATATATATCACTCACTGTCCCCTAAAAAGATGGTATCACTTTATTTTTCCACTAACACACTGTGTGAAGGTTCAGACCCCATAGCCACAGACCCCAGTTCACATCATTGAAAACACCCATGTTTGATGAAAAGAGAGGAAACCTTATCTACTTCAAATTATGACTTTGGGGTCAATAGAGGAAAACTGTCTAAAAAAATTATTATTCATTCAACCAGTATTTATAGAATGTACCACCAAGACAATACATGGGGAGTAAAAAGTGATGATGATGACAAAGATAATTATAATGGCATCAGTGTGCTAGAAACTACCATAAGCTCTTTTCTCATTTAACTCTCACAACAATCCTGTTGGGAAAGCATTATTATTGTTCTCAAGAAGAGCTAGCTACTGGAGCTTACTAAGCAATGAGTACTAAGCTAAACACTATATAGTATCTCATTTAATTTCACTGAATCCTCACAAATAAATCCTACAAGGTAAACATTATCTCCATTTTGCAAGTGAGAATATTTTAGAGGCTCAAAAACACTAAGTCGCTACTGTCAAACATTTTCTTACCTCTGGTTCTTCAGAGTTGCATGTTTTCACCATGTTTTGAAGAACATCAATCAGTTGGCATAACAGTACTCCATTATCAAGTTCTTCCAATAATCCTTCTGCCTTAACCTCAATACCTAAAAGTATGTTTCAAAGTTAAGCTTCTTCTAGAGAGAGTAACTTCAAAAAATATGGTTAAAATTTAATTAAATGTAATCAGATCACAGCTAAAACACTAAACAAATATCAGATCAGACTTCAAGTATATTCACTCAAGTCAGAGGGCTCCGTGGACTTAGAGGCAGGTCTTCTCCAAACCACACCTAGAGAAAACACCAACCAAGGAAGCGGACACAACCTTAAAAGTCAACATAACCCACATCTGTATTTAAAGGGTGATGTAAAGACCATTCACTCTTAGAAGTGAATATACTTAAAACAGCAGACAGTGTCAAATTAAATGAAAGACAACTGAAACAAAAATAACTATCTGTGACAGAGGTACAGAAAAAATAAAATGACATCTATTCTGTTTCAGTTTAAAAAGGGCAAAGTATTTTGTATTTTATTATTCATTGTTAAGGTTACAATGTGATTCACTGCACATTGACTACTGCTTGCATAAGAAAGATTCTCTGTAAATAATATGGACTTTGTTGCAGTTTAAAAATTAAAGATAATAACATAACAAACACCCAGGGAATACCAACCTCTAAAATCCTTTCTTTAGAAGCATAATAAACTTATATAACTTTTAAAAAATTATCCAAATCATCAAACTGATGTGAGATAACTGGTGTGAGTGTTTCATGTCTTGGGAAGGCTATTATATATTCCTTTTCATGAAAACTTTGGAATGCTACATGAAGATCTATATATAAAGAATTTTTCTGGGGAGAGAGCTCAAAGCACTCATATCCTCTAACTGAGTAAAGAAGTGTGATGTCATTCTCCAAACTGACACTCTCACCTAAGTGTCATAAGCCTCTGCCCCTCAGTGCCTCAGATATAGTAACCATTATAATTACAGTACATAGTCCACTCAGAATTTCATGTCTTGTACAAGATTAAGGGTGAAAAATCAGTAAAATAGAAGCCCCCAAATTAGATCCATGTATTTTTAAAAAAAGAAAGATTTTAACATTAACAATGAGAATGTTAATTATTCAAAGCTTACCACTGACTTCTTCTATTAAGCCTCAACTTCCTTATTATTCAAACCCTAAGGGTCAGGGTGATTTGAAGTATGTCCCCAACTAGAATGTAAGCTTGGTGAGAACAAAGACATCATATATTTCATTCACTTAAGCATCCCTCGCCTCTGGAACAATCACTCCTTGAAGAAGAGTAAGATTCTCAATAAATACTCACTGACTAAAAGAATACAACTTTGAGTACCTTTCAAGCCTTACCTAATAAACCAGATAACCAAATAGACAGGTCTTCCTGCATGGGCAACAGGGTAGCTTCATGCCTCACAGCTATCCACTCGTCATATTGACAGACGTCAGCCAAGCCTGGGCCGTGTCTGGGGGTCAGAGGGCTCCGTGGACTTAGAGGCAGGTCTTCTCCAAACCACACCTAGAGAAAACACCAACCAAGGAAGCGGACACAACCTTAAAAGTCAACATAACCCACATCTGTATTTAAAGGGTGATGTAAAGACCATATATAACAGACATATATAGAAAACTGCAGCAGCTCACAAAAAGTTTATAAAGTAGAAGCAAACTAAACTAGTATTATTAGTCTAGATATTTGATACATTTTCAATATTCAATACTATGGTAAAATGTAAATGAACAGATTCTACTATCAAAACAAGAAGATAGAAGTCAACAAGTAATATTTTTCCTCCACTTGTTAGATAAGTTTAACAAGATTCTTGACCAGAATCTCAGCATCCTGGCTATAAAATGGGTTGATGTTACCTGCCTTTACAAGATACATCTTTGTAGCATCTAGCATTGGGCTTAGCAATATTTGTTGCATAATGGATGAATGCATAAATGGCACTTTGTAAATTTTAAATCATAGTAACAGTGTTATCTTTTAACAAAAATTATAAAAAATATGCCTGTCACCTGATTTTGCATGGCCCACAAACTAAGAATGGTCTTTACATTTTAAAATGGTTGTTATATAAGTATACATAATAGCCTCCATTTTGCCTACTGAGTCACAAAACCAAAAATATTTACTACCTGTCTAATCCTTGGTTTAGAATTAAAAGTGACACAAACCTATTATCAAACTAACATTTGGAAAAACTTGAAATACAATTAGATATGCTTTAATATAAGACTGTTAATAAAAAAGACTATCAATTCTCAGTTCAGGAAAGGTTATTAGAGTCCAAGTGAAGTGAAGAGGGTTCTCATACAAGAAGGTAGCTTGAAATGGAGGGTCAGGGTCTCAGTGAGGTGAAGAGGTCCACACATGGGTCCAGCCTTGTGCAAGATATCAGACGCGGGGTAGGATAAGGAGGGTGTCCTCCAGGGACAATGGGAGAACATCCCCTGCAGGGTGTCAGAGTCCAAGTGAGGTGGGAAAGACATTAAGTCAGGGAGGAGGTGGCAGCAACGATGGGAGACAGGTTACATACTGGGGGATTGTCAGATGGGGGCCAGGTTTCTGGCTGCCAAAGAAGGGAGGTACAATTACAGAATGAGAGGAAACTAGAATGCATCCTATGGTGCTGGGCTGGAATATCTTTCACCAGGAAACAAAGAACTGCTCAAAGATGATGGAGACATGCCAAAGGACACAGAGGTCAGCTTGAAAAGATTTCTACCAGCTACACTGAGAGCAAATTGAACACCACCACAGGGATATAAATTGATTGTAACACACTGAATAAAATAAACAAATATGAGTCCATATAGATACAAATAAATTGAATAAACTGGAATTTTGATGAGGAATGGAATTTTTATACATTTTCAAAGTATTCCCTACAAAATACTTATTACAAAGAGAAAAAATAATAATTCTACAGTAGAGAAACTTGACAGATAGTAACTTAACCAAGTGATAAAGGTGAACACCATCAACAGTGGGACAAATCAAACTCACATGACACCTGACAGGTTGCAAGAGACAACCCAGCACCCCTCTGTGATATTCCTGCCAAAGGGGCACAATGGATCTAATCAAGAGAAAACATTGTGTAAATCCAAATCGAGGAATACTCTGCAAGCACTCAAAAGTGTCAAGATTTCTAAAGAAAGACTGAGATACTGTCCAGAATGATGAAGCAAGTCTTACCACCAAAGCAATAACCATAACAACATCATTGTTAATCCAAACAAACTTTGGAGGAAAAAAAAAAGCTGCTTTCAGTCTCCTATGATGAGACAAACACATTTAAAAAATCCTAAAGGCAAAGAAAGAAAATGAATACATATTACAAGATGCTAGCAATGGTAGCAAAACTGTATCTAGTCAAAGACAAAGAAACATCAGTTAATGAAGGACATTATTTCAGGAATTGAGGGTAAGGATTGGGGAATGAACTCCTATACATATGAGGATCTAATAAAATTTTAGGAAAGAGTCAAGATGTTATTTATTTTTCTGAATTCCCTTAAAATTATTTCAAATGAAGTATAGCAAAGAATTACTATCTAAATATTCCCCTCATTAGCATGTCTTATTTCTTTTTTTAATCTTAAGACTCAATATAAAACTTAGAACATGGTATTCAAGCAAAAATATTTTTTGAATAATTGAGGAATAGATGTTAGCAAATGACTCCTTTTACTATCAAAATCAAGATGCATCTTACAATCAGGGGTATTTTACAGGCCACAGAATGTTATTTGTACTTTAACCATCTGGACAAGCTGAAAAAAGGCAGAGCCAATGCAAATGTATGTCATGCAACAATATGCATTTAGTTAGGAGGGTAGTTTTGAAAAGATCATGTCTGAAAAATGGAGAAGCTAACATTAACAAAAGTCATTCTAAGAAGAATGCCACATTAAGAAGAATACTTGGATTTTCCTATTATTTCATGCAGAAGACTATAACATGGGCTAGTGAGTAGCATATTAATGTTGTTATAAGTCAGATGTTAGTAACAAAAACTGCCTGTATAAAGGTTGTTCTCAATCATGCTGAAAGTAGCGTATTGCAGATATTCTTAATCCATAAGCAGTCTACAGATGAACTTCAGTAGTTACATAAACTTAATTTGCATTTAGATAAAATTTTATGCCCAGGTACAAATGGGCCTTTTCTGAGAGTTCATAGCTTTTGTCATTCTTAAAGGGGACTATGACTAAAAACAGATTAGGAACTACTGTTCATTGATCTTCAATTTAGACTAATGTTTATTCACTAATCAAATGAGGGACATAAAAAAAAGGGCAAAGATCTCAGTGTACTAAATTAGTAAGAAACTAATTGATAACAGCTATCTATTGGATGGCTCCTTCCTGCATGGCACTCATGAAAAACTAAGTAGCTGTCTAATATAGTGAGTAGAAAAAGAGGTAAAAACCCTAAAAAGTTATCACATTCATCAGGGAGAGAAGCAAAAACTTCCATGAGATATGTCAAGGGTGCTCTTGGAGAAGAATCAATAAAGATTGATCTGTGAAGAAGGAGACGAAGAAGAGAAGGCAGAGTGAAAAGTGAGGCATAAAACTCCTCCCAAAAACACATAAAACATGAAAATACAGCAAATACAACTAATCTTAAAAGAGCGGCCAGAAAGAAGACAGCGACAGACTGCCTACATCAGGGGAAAACAGAAGACCCCATGGAAAAGAGTAAAGTAGCAAAGTTGGAATCCTGCGGGACCCAAGCCCTCCCCCAACCCCACCTCACAGGTGGAAGGAAGAAAAACAGAGCAGGATGGGAGTAGAAGCTGAGGACTGCTGAACATTCACCCCTGGGGATTCTGCTCTGGGAACATGAACCCATATTACATGGTGCTCTGGAGATTAGTGGGCCTGGAAAGGAAAGACAGGCAGAATAACTGAGAGACTGAGATTCCAGCCTCTTGTGGAGAACAAGTACCCCCAACTGGGCCATCTGGGACAAGAGAAAGGCGGGCACTTTGAGAGACTTCCCAACAACAAGAGGCGTGTTAAAGGGGCAAGGACTACACAGAGCTTGCTGCTCAGGAGAAAGGACAGGTGGACAAAATCATCCCAGCACACTCAGCCTAGCAGGTTGGGAACTCTCAGGAGCTTCAGGAGCTCCAAACCCTGGCTGGCAACATGTACCAAGGCACCCCACTGCAATACACAGCCTGCCGCTCCTTCCTCCCAGCTGGCAACATCTCGCAAACCTGCTGCCCAGGTCATTGTGCCAGGCCAGTGAGAGAGCGCCCTGCCTATGGCAGCACCAGGGGTATAGCATAAAGGCTCCTCCAGGCACACTCAGCACAGTACCCCAAGCAGTGGAGGAAGGCACTGCAACCAGGAAGCAGGAAAGAGCTCCTTCCTCCCGGCAGGTACTGGCACCACTGGCCTGTGACCCATGCCATCGCTCCAGGTGTGGGCAACTCCAGAGGGTAGAGCTTCTGGATACTAGAGGATGCCACCTACACAAAGTTATTATTCCATAGTAATTATTAGAGATATGAAATGGCAAAAGAATCTGGTACAAACCAAAATCCCTCAAACACCAGAAAGAGGGCTAAGTGAAACTGAAATCACCAATATTCTTGATAAAGATTTCAAAATAAAATCATAAAAATGCTCATGGAGCTACAGAAAAATATTCAAGATCTCAAGGAGGACATCAAGAAAGAGATAGAAACTGAAGAATACAGTATCTGAGATGAAACATACAATGGAGGGATTTAAAAGCAGATTAGATTAGGTATAGGAGACAGTAAATGAAATATAAATTAGAGAACAGGAATACAAAGAAGCTGAGACACAGAGATAAGAAGGATCTCTAGGAATGAAAGATTAATAAGAGAACTATGTGACCAATCCAAAAGGAACAATATTTGCATTACAGGGGTACCAGAAGAAGAGAGAAAAGAAGGGAGAGTAGGTCTCTTTGAATAAATAATTGTTGAAAATTTCCTCAATCTGGGGAAGGAAATAGTCTCTCAGGCCATGGAAATGCACAGATTTCCCAGAACAAGGAACCCAACGAAGACAACACCAAGACATATAATAATTAAAGTGGCAAAGATCAAGGACAAGGACAGAGTATTAAAAGCAGCCAGAGAGATAAAAGATCACATACAAAGGAAAACCCATCAGACTATCATCAGACTACTCAGCAGAAACCTTACAGGCCAGAAGGGAGTGGCATGATATATTTAATGCAATGAAACAGAAGGGCTTCTAACCAAGAATACTCTACTCAGCAAGATTATCATTTCAATTTGAAGTAGGGATTAAACAATTTCCAGATAAGCAAAAGCTGATAGAATTTACCTCCCACAAACCACCTCTACAGGGTATTTTAGAGGGACTGCTATAGATGGAAGTGCTCCAAAGGCTAAAAAGCTGTCACCAGAGAAAATAAAACCACAGGAAAGGATACAGACCAGTTAATTACTAGGCAAATGCAAAATTAAAACAACCACCCACAAAGTCAGTCAAGGGATA